TTTAAAAAAAAAAAAAAAAACTTTCACTATTTGCAGGTGACATGATACTATATAGTGAAAACCCTAGAGACTCTGCCAAAAAGCTACTAGACTACTAGAATAAATGAGTTCAGTCAAGTCGCAGGATACAAAAATCAATGTACAGAAATCTACCACATTCGTATACATTAATAATGAAGCAGCAGAAAGTGAAATTAAGAAAATGATCCCATTTACAATTAACCAAAAATAAGATATCTGGGAACAAACTTAACCAAGGAGGTGAAAGACCTGTACTCTGAAAACTATAAAACATTGATGAAAGAAATTCAAGACAACACAAAGAAATGAAAAGACATTTCATGCTCATGGTTGGAAGAACAAATATTGTTAAAATGTCCATACTACCCAAAGCAATCCACAGATTTAATGCAATCCCTATCAAAATACCAGCAGCATTTTTCACAGAACTGGAACAAACAATCCTAAAATTTGTATGGAACCACAAAAGACCCTGAATAGCCAAAGCAATCTTGAAAAAACTGGAGGTATCACAATTCCAGATTTCAACTTATATTGCAAAACTAGTAATCAAAACAGCATGGTACTGGCAGAAAAAGAGACACATAGATCAATGGAACAGAACAGAAAACCCAAAAATAAACCCACAAATATATGATCAATTAATCTTCAACAAAGGAGGAAAGCATATCCAATGGGAAAAAGTCTCTTCAACAAATGGTGTTGAGAAAACTGGACCACTTCCTTTCACCATACACCAAAAAACACCCCTCAAAATGGGTTAAGGACCTAAATGTGAGACCTGAAACGATAAAAATCCTTGAAGACAGCACAGGCAGTAATTTCTCTGACATCAACCGTAGCAACATTATTCTAGATAGGTCTCCTCCATTATTCTAGATAGGCAATGGAAACAAAAGTAGAAATAAACTGTTGGGACTACATCCAAATAAAAAGCTTCTGCACATCAAAGGAAACAACCAGCAAAACAAAAGGCAGTCATTGGATTGGGAGAAGGTATTTGCAAATGACATACCTGATAAAGGGTTAATATCCAAAATATATAAAGAACTTACACAACTCAATATCCAAAAAACAAATAATCCAATTTAAAAATGGGCAGAAGACATGAATACACATTTCTCCAAAGATATCCAGATGGCCAACAGACACATGAAAAGATGCTCAACATCACTCTCATCAGGGAAATGCAAATAAAAACTACAGTGAGTTATCACCTCACACCTGTCAGAATGGCTGAAATCAACAACACAAGAAACAAGTGTTGGCGAGGATGTGGAGAAAAAGGAACCCTTGGGCACTGTTGGTGGGAATGCACACTGGTGCAGCCACTGTGGAAAACAGTATGGAGTTTCCTCAAAAAATTAAAAATAGATCTACCCTATGATCCAGTAATTGCACTACTGGGCATTTACCCCAGAAATACAAAAACACTAATTCAAAGGGTATATATGCACCCTATGTTTACTGCAGCATTATTTACAACAGCCCAACTATGGAAGCAGCCCAAGTGTCCATCGACTGATGAATGGAGAAAGAAAATGTGGCATATATATATATGCAATATATATATACAGTGGAATATTATTCAGCCATAAGAATGAGATCTTGCCATTTGCAACAACATGGATGGAGCTAGAGAGTATAATACTAAGCAAAATAAGTCAGAGAAAGACAAATACCATGTGATTTCACTCATAGTGAAATTTTAGAAACAAACAAGCAAAGGAAAAAAAAGGGACAAACCAAGAAACAGACTGTTAACTACAGAAAACAAACTGGTGGTTACCAGAGGGAAGGTGGGGGGATGGGTGAACTAGGTGATGGGGATTAAGAGCACTGAGTAATGTACAGAATTGTTGAATCACTCTGTTGTACACCTGAAACAAATATAACACTGTATGAAGATATATAAAAAATGAAAACTCCATCTTTACTATCTTTGTAATTTTTCTATAAATCTAAAATTATCCCCAAATAAAATGCTTATTTAAAATCGAGAATAATTGAATGAAATAAAATCAGTCATGTCCTATTTAGCAATACCAGACACAGATGATGATTGTGAAGAGTGACAACGATGTTAGTAGAGGAATAATTATGCATGTCTTCTATGTTAGTAGGAAAACATTTGCGAAAAATAAAGGCAAATTAAAAAACTCACTAACTTATATTGGCATAAAAGGCAAAGAACTTCACGGATGCGAAGCCATTTGCAGTCAATAAAGAGTCCGTGGGAAGGTGGAGGAAGGTGGCTCCCCGGGCACCTGGCAGACTGTATGCCAGTTCAGTAATGGCTCAATTCAGGAAGCGGACCAAGGAAGCCACAGATGGCGTCCATGTGCATTTCCAACTTTTCTAGAGATGTTGGTTGTAAAAGCCACCAGGATCTCATGGCCCCGAAAACTTCCTTCCTAGTCTCTCTCGTTGGGAAGTTCTGTCAGGAGCCCCATCCAACACCAGAACCACGGCACTGGGGTCCAGAGACCATGTTGGCATTACTAAGCCACCTCTGTGACTTTCAGAGATCCAAGGAATACCTTAAGGTTATGGCCAAGTATAACCTCATAGGTTTCAAAACTGATTTCTTTGTTCCCAGTTACCTGCTTAAACTTGAGGGAAGCATGGTCTTACATGCTGGACGAATGGAATGGTCCTTCAAAAGAGGCTTAAATAGCCACCTATTAAGGCAACCAGGGTCTGCTTCCCCACACATTCCACAGGCCAGTGGTTCTCAAAGCGTGGTCCTCAGAACCAGGGAGCCGGAAACTCTGGAGCAGCGCCCAGGAACCTGGGTTTTAACAAGCCCTCCAGATGATTCCGATGCACCCTCAAGTTTGGCAACCGCTGTCATAGGCTATACAGTCCAGTACTGAAAATCTGTTATCAGCAACCCCAGATTAGAAACATCTGTTGACTCAAGTCTAAATGAAATTTGAAAAGAGAACAACTTCAGAGTCACGCACAAAGCTTAACTTGTGTCAAAGCAGAACAGAACCTACGTTTTCTCGGTAGAATTTCTTACCTGGAGGGATGTGAAGTCTATATAACAGTTTGATTTTCTCATTCATTTCTCCATTATACATAACATCTGCCAAAAAAAAAAAAAGAGAGAGAATGAGTAGATGCAAATGGTTAAAGTACATTTGTTGTGACACAAACTCACTGGGGGGAGAGAACTTAGTACGGTCTGTACCTGTTCACCCAATACTTCCCTGCCCCTCCCCCAGACACACAGTGTTTGAAATGAAAACCTACAAGGTCATTCTTGAGCTGCAAGACAACCTCGTGAATTTTGTCTGGCCTCATACCTTCTGAAAGATTTTAATTTCAGGCCAGTCCCTAATACACTTCATTGTGTGGATCTACTTGCTCCCTGTCTTGTGTTCACAGACTCCTGTCCCAAATTAACTCACTGCAGTGAAGACCCACAGGGTCCTACCGAGACAGCTCACAAATGCTTTGAATTCGATCAGGTGGTCCATGTTGTCATCCAGGAGCCTGAAAGTCCTCTCCGCGAGGATCTCCGTGTGGGCCCCACAGGTCCATGGCGAGACAAGCTGAAACAAGTGTGCAAACTGCCGGGCATCTATGCGGTACTGTTCTGCGTAAGGCCTGCTGGGGTCGTGGCGCGGGGCCATGGGCCGGGGCTGCTCCCAGTAACAGCTCATCATGTGCTCTCTCTTCAAACAAGAGGGAGAGAGGGATCTATGAGAGATGGGGGCCTGTGGGGGGCTGCACGCTTAAAAGCCAAGGTTAACTTGGCCTTCTCTCAGGACTCACTTGGCCTCGTAAATTATGTATTGAATAAGAACATTATAACATGAACAAATGAAAAAAATTAAAGTACTTACAATCTCATTACTCTAACCAGACAAGTAAAAGATCTCCCTTGTTATCTTACACTTCTTGCCCACAAGAATATGTAATTTTGACCTCTTTCTCTAGGATCTTTTTTTTTATTGTAGCACACAATACCTAACAAAACTTACCATTTTAACCATTTTTCAATGTGCAGTTCAGCTGCCATAGTTTTAATTCTAGGAGACCTAATTTTTATTCTATTTTCTCATCAAATCACATCTGAAAATGAAAAAGTGCTAGACAGATCTACAGAATACACAAGAAACCAGTTGCCCTGGTTGCCTGTGGGGAGGGAACGTACGGGTGGGGACTCAAATGTAGAACCAAGTCGTCTTTTTTTTTTTTTTTAAGATTTTATTATTTGAGAGAGCGCATGAAAGAGCAAGTGCACGAGCAGCGGGGAGAGGCAGAGGGAGAGGGAGAAGCAGACTCCCCGCAGTCCCCGATGTGGGACTCGATCCTAGGACCCTGGGATCATGATCTGGGCTGAAGGCAAACGCTTAAGCAACTAAGCCACCCAGGCGCCCCAGAACCAAGTCTTTTTACTGCATACTTTCTTATAAATTTTGAACCAGATGAATATATTAACAATTCAAAAAACTGGAAGTAAAAAAAAAAAAAAAGTGATTCAAAGTCTTGGGAATACACTGACAACCAGAGAAAGTGATTCAAAGTCTTGGGAATACACTGACAACCAGAGCAATCAAAACTGGCCCTGTCCCTGAGGTTTGCCTCTTCAGGACGCATCTCTTACATCCACGCTAAGTCACCTCCTGGGACGTCTCGGCTCACTGAAGTAATTCCCAGTGACTGCGGGCTTCTGCACAATTTCAGTGTCCTCCCCCCATCCCGGTGGCACAGAAACGAATATGGAGGCTGTAACATGTAAGCACAGATCCTTGGATGGAAACCAAAATGCCATTTATAATTTTACTGTCATACTTGTTGGCAGTCAAGTTCTTCGAATAGCCTTTGCAGAATTGTGAAAAATACCCCAAGAACTTTTCAGTGTGAGACAACGGTCTAATGAAATTTCCATTCCTAAAAACCCAAGACACACTACTAAAGTCCATTGTGTATCTGTGCATCCTGTGATGCTTAAGACCCACAGAATCCTGCCAAGAAAACAGTTATAATAAGTAAGCCAAGGACTGAAGCAATCAGTTTACACAGAATCCTACAGAAAAACAAACCGATATAAAAAAAAAAAAGACCATGGATATAAGCAGGTGATACAAAGAAGTACACAATTATCTGTATGGTACTCAACCTCGCTAATGGATAAATTTAAATTAAAATAAAATGCAATTTTCTATAAGACTAGCAAAATTGCAAAAGATCTATAATAAACGCTAGGTGAGTGTGGAGTGTAGGAAATGAGCACTCCCAGGCATCATCAGTGGAACTGAAATTTGAAAAATCAAACACACTTTAGTAATACAGGCTACAGTTTGGTTTGTGCATCTCGAAGGGCCCCATCCCACAGAAACTGTACCACTGGTGTAGCTGCACGTAGGCGTGGGGACTCACTGCCAGGCTATCAGGAGTGGATCACTGTGCCTGTCTCCCTGCCCCACTTTTATCCACTCTTTCAAGCAAGGACGCTTCCAGCAGGGCACCTGAAAATGTTCTTTGCTGGGTGATTTAAGTAAGTAGCAAGACCTGAGAATCCACCTAAATATCCAAATATTAGAAATATGGTTTATTTACTATTACCAATCTGATAGATTATAAGGCTATTTTAAAATGAGTAAGACTATGTGGCAACATGGAAAAGTGTTAATAACAGTACCGAGGGAAAATAGAAGATAAAGTAGCACATGTACCAGCCAAATATAAAAATATGTCTACATATATTATGGGGGGGGTTAGGAGTCCTCACAAAGCATAAGAGGTGGGAATGCCAGTAATGGTCACTGTTCATCCACCAAGGCCCGGGAACTCCGTGTAGAACAGTGTGGGACGGGCTACCAGCACGGAAGGAAGGCCTTCTGCAGAGCACAGCGCTCGTGTGAGCTGTAGGCAGGCGAGACGAAGACAGAGCTGGCAGGTGGGGCAGGTGACAACGTGGGCTGGGGCCTGTCACTCCCTCATCTTCCCAGAGTTTCCTACCTTGAATAAGTCATAGAGTTCTTCCAGGTCTTCAGGAGGAATGGAGACTTCCGGGATAACAACGCGGAGCTTGAGGAAAGAACCAACAGCAATGGAGTGAATTCTCTGCCTGCACCTGGGAGGATCAAAGGGAACGGGGGGGCTCTTCTGGCTCGTGGGGGACACCAGGCGCAAGTCCTGTCTACCAGAGCAATCTGTTCCTTTCTGATGCCAGGATCACGTTATGGTAACTTTCTCAAGGTGTTTACCCTCAGCCTTGCCAATTCACACATCAGTGCCTGGGGACAAACGCGTGAGTTTAATGGAAGTCAAACTCTAGCAAAGACGAGGCTGGGGCAGGAAGTTCCTCCCGAAGAACAACACTGCAGGCCTTCCGTGCCAGGCATTTTCTATATCGTACCTCGTTTAATCCCAGATGCCGGGTATTAGTAGCCTCCTTTACAACTGGGGAAACTGAGGCTCACGGGGCTTAAATTGCTCACAATCTGTCTGACTCTCAAACCCGTTTCTATGCCAGGTCACCCTAATTCAATGCAGGGGGGTGGGGTGGCATTCTTTTTCTTAAGTTTCTTTAGTTTACTTTTAGTAATCTTTACACCCAACGTGGGGCTCAAACTCGGGACCCCAAGGTTCAGGAGTCACATGCCAGCCAGGTGCCCCAAAAGCTGGCATTCTCATGAGACCCACAGGAACAGAGCCCAGGTTCGCGCCCGACTGCCATTCTGACAACCCATGACTCACTACGTTCTGCTTTGTGGTATCTTCGTGGCCCTGGAGAACCCTGATCCTGTGCCTACAGCGCAGGTGCTCGAGCTGCTCCACAGACTGGTCTCCAAATTTCTGCAGAGAAACGAATGTCCCTCAACACCCATCTCTGACCAGGTTTCCCGGAGGATGAGGGTGGGGACGGGGCCAGGCCCAGTTACCTCATAGGAGTCCCGGATCAGGTCGGCAATGTCAGTCCCAGGGTCGGGCTCCTGGTCATCGGACAAAAAGGCATGGTGGCTGCCGACGGGGGGTCCAGGGCTGTCCTCATTCTTAATGTGATCTAGAAACCTGAGCACACAACCCACCACTGAAGCACTGGTTTCCCCTCACCTGCGAACCGCACCCCACCCGCTACCTTCCCAGGGGCCGGGGGAAATGTCAGAGCACTTTCAGACCCAGCTCATCCGTCTCCAAACACTGGGAGGAGGGCAAGATAACTACTGTGCTCCTTTAGAGGAAAGGAGACACGCCTAAAGCCAGACTTGTTAATCTGGGCCCCATGGGTAGGTGTGCAGGGACCTGGGACTCTGGTGAAGTCAACACAAAGTTCTGTGCATACACGTGCCACTGTAAGCTTCCACAGTATTCTGAAAGGGAAACTTTCATCTGTCTTTCAACTTGCCCTCAGCTACAAGACAGCCAGATTCCAGTCCTCGGCCTCGTGGGACTTTTCTTGCACTGCAACACACCAAGCCCCTACACATCAAATGTCCGAAACCTCCAGCTGGCTGCCTGAGACCACCATTTCCCAGTGCCTGCCTGCCCCATTCCAGGCCACTATGAGTGTGTATCTCCCCAGAGACAAGCGCAGATGGCCCACTCTCCTCCTGTACCCTCTCTCACTTGCTGGAGAGGAGCCGGGAAGATGGCGCTCTTCACCACATGCAGGCAACAGTGCCACCTCACTGGCTGGCTCTGGGTGGGGGGGGGGGGACCACGGCGTGACAAGTGGCAGAGTGGAAGGAAAAATTCCACAGTGACAGCCCTGCTGGGCACCCACTGCTGCTTCCACCTGGTCTATTTTGCAGAGCCCGTGATAGCCCTCCTCAACCCGCCACCCCAACCCCGTGAGCCCACCTGCTGAGGACCATGAGGGCCTGGCCATCGTCCTTGCTGCTGCACAGGCCCTGGGCATTGGCTTCCAGCACGGCCAGCCCCAGCTGGAAAATGGCTTTGATCCCATCGTAGAAGAAGCAATCCACAACGCTCACCGCACTCTCCAGAGGCATAATGCTGAGGAACAGAGTCAGGAACCAGGAGAGAGAGATGGACGCGAGGGCTGAGAGGTCATTCATGTGCTCCGCCAGCTCGGGGAGGTGCTCCTTGATGAGCTCTTCAAAGACCGACTGGTCTACCTGGGCCCCTGAAAAAGGCAGACCACGGAGACTTGGTTGCGGAAGGAGTCACACTTTCTAAAGTTAGCCTGAAACTGAAACTACTCTGAGATGAGCAGAACAATGAAACAGAATTTGAGTCCAGAAAAGGACTCGGACTTAACTGGTTTTTGACACTGACTAGAGCAATTCAGTGGGGAAAGGATCGTCTTTTCAAAAAATAATGCTCAATCAAGTGCACACCTGTGTGGGAGCAGGGTGGGGACCTCAAGTCCTACTTCACATCATACAAGAAAATACATTTGAAATGTGTCATAGACCTCAATATAAAAGCTAATACTATAAAGCTTCTAAAGAAAAATATAGGAAAAAGGCATCATTTCTTAGGACACAAAAAGCACTAGCCACAGAAAAAAATTATAAATTGGACTTCATGAAAATAAAAGACTGGTATTCCTCAAAAAACATTAGTAAAAATAGGAATGCAAACTTCACGCTAAGAAAATATTTATAATACATATACCTGACAAGGGTCTTGTATTCAAAATAAAACTCTTGCAACTTAGTGGTCAATAACCCATTTTTTCTTAAATAGGCAAAAGATGTGAGCAGACACTTCAAAAGAGACAATAAACAAATGGCCAGGAAGCACAGAAAAATATGTTCAACATCATTCATCGAAGAAATGCAAAGTAAAACCTCCATGATAGATCTCTTCTTCCCCGCTAGAATGGCAAAACTTAAAAAGACAACTCTGAAGGCTAACGGATGTGGAGCAACCAGAACTCACACACTGCTGGTAGGAGATCTGTGACCGCAGTGTATCCGCTTTGAAAAACCAACAGTTTCTTAGTTGACCTATGACCTATGGCCTAGCAATTCTACTCCTAGGTAAACACTCAAGAAAACGGACAATCTTGAGTCACTTACTTACTTACACATGAATGTGTATCTCAACTTCACTTACAATAAAAGACTGGAAACCACGCAGACCTCTAAACGAATCACGGTCTGAGTGTGCGGGGTGACTCAGCCAGAAGAAGGAGCAGAGTACTAATGCCTCAGCAACCCCGTGTCGTGCGCAGGAAAACAGACCCAGAAGAGTATGTTCTCCATGGTTACACTGAGACCAAGTTCAAGAACTTGGGCCCAACTAACCCGTGGTGACAGACCCCAGGACCGAGTGTTGCCTGTGGCAGGGAAGGGGCAGAAGGGAAGTGGGGGGTTATGGAAATGCTCCAGCCTGTATTGGGGCAGTGCTCACACAGGTGTACACATTACCTAGGGGGCGCTGCTGGTCACTGAGGAGTAGACACTGTCCCGTAGGAGCACCATCAACCGATGGCGGCTTTGGCAGCTTGCCTCCCGGTGACCCTGACACTCTGAGGAGTCCGTGCTACTGTGTGCAACCTTAGACTGCCTCCCACAGCATAAAGTGGAAAGGGAAGGAAGCCCGTCACTCAGGCACCTGGAGGGAGCCAGGGAAGACAGTCTAGAGCACTCCGCCACATCCTTCCCAGCCACCCCCCGCCCCCACACTCCCAGGGGTCCTCACATTCCCTCGGTTCTTGACACCAGTCTTCTTCGGGAGCGTCTTCTTCCTGCCCTGCCCCTACCTCCAGTCTTTTGCCAAATTCTGTCTCAGATTGGTTCTTTTGTTTCTGTTCCCACCGCTGCCGCCCGAATTTTAGGCCATCTCCAGAAAAGGTATGGGAGAGTATCAGCAAGCCGAAGCAATGTTTCTGTCATTTTGTCCACTAGGAGGGGCTGGACCACAGGGATAATGCAAATGCCAATCCACCACAGAAAAGGAAGGCACCAAGTGGGTGCCTGAGTGCTGTGGGGTCACAGGTCTGCCCAGAGCCGGGGCCAGCAACAATGGGCCTTCTCACTTATCAGTGTATCCAAGGCCGGGGCAGGGAGCGGGGGATGTCCCAAATCTGCCCTTCAGGTCCAGCCTCGAGAGTCTCCACAACAAGGGAAAGGGGACATCTGTCTGCAGGAGCTCCTTGGGTACGAAGGGCAACACCACCCTCCCTTTCCAGGCCGCAGTATCAGCAAAAAACCCCTCTGGTTTTCACTTTTCAACTTGTTTCTCGAACCTAAGCATTTTTCTTTTCAGGTAACCTCAGTCCACCCTTTTGCCAGAATGGTGCAGAGATTATGCCAGTTGGTTCTGCACATTCAAGAGCCAGCTGAGCGGCACAGGGGATTTCTGAACAAGGACTGATGACAAATGTCTTTGCCCAGGCTCTGTCCCTGCTCCCCAAGCACAGAAGAGGAAGAGGAGGAGGAAGGAGGCAGTTTACCAATGACTCGGTGGTTGAAGTAGTCAGGCAGCATCCGCTCACACACAGCGACGAGCAACCAGAAGGCCTCCTCCTCCTTGGCGTACAGCAGCAAAACGGAAGTCAGGATGTTCATGGACTGCTCAGGGTTCACAGAGGAGGGGACGCTTCATGTCAGACCACGTCGTGCCACACAGACATTAAAAATCACACAAGCCCAAAGGGTCCACAGAAGTCAAGACTGTCAATGAGAGACCCAGTCTAGCCCAACCACACTGACACTTGTCAAGTGGAATGACCGTGTTTATCAACATGGTCCCCACAAGACACCCCAGGCTGAGCCACCAGCCACCATTCTGTCACTGTCCCCATCTAGGAATGCTGGGGTCAGCTGTGGTGCACGCCTTAGGCTCAGGTCAAATCCAGCTATTCTGTGTGTATGTTCTAACACACACACACACACACACACATTCACGCGTTGATTTTGCTTTTCACAGGAAAACAAAGTTTAAACTCGTCTATTTTCAGGTATCAGAGACTTCTCTAACCCAGTCTAGTGGTGGGGTGGGGGCAGTGGTGTTTTATTTTACTGGGTTCTATTTTGTGCTTGTTTACCACATCCCTGAATAAACTTTCCGAGTAAACTCAACAACTGTTCAGAGGGCGTCTTACCTCCACTTGTGCTTCCTGAAGGAAAAGGATCGGCCCCAAACATCTTTTTCCTCCCCAAACAGCACTGATATTTAAAAAATAATCCCTGTAACTTCTGTAGAGATCTAGAAAGATAAAGCTCCACAGAAGCGTTATCAGTGCCGTCCTACAGCGGAGGCCTGGAGGGGCGGTAAAGACAATCTGTCCTGCCGTGGACAGTGACTCATCATGTGCACTGCTCTTTTCGGGCACCACAGTTTCTAATCTCAAGTAATCAGCCTGTTTGACTATACGAAGATGATTCCTTTGGCCTTATTCAATACATTCTTTAAGGGAAGAGACAAAGCACAGAGCCTTCACAGGACAGTCTTCGCTACCAGTCGAGAACAACAGAACCCGAAGCCTGGGTGACCAACACAAGACACAAACTCAAAGATTTCTGCTCCTCCACTGCACACCTCACCTGGCAGTACCCAATTTTGGGGTTCCGGTGGGCATAGGCTGTCAGGACTCTCCTCAAAGCAGCAATTCCCGTTTCATTCTGGAAGGCGGGATGCTCCGGTAAGGAACGGTGCAGGTCCCGTTCTATCTCCTCGGTCACCAGGCAACATTTTCCCATGGACTCCTCCACCAGATTACCATAGTAACCCGGATGCGAGGCGAGATCGGTTACAGCATCTGACGATTTAAAAGTAATTTTTCAAGGGGGCGGATTACCGGGACAGAGTCAACATGGGGAGGGGGCTTGTCCTGCCGGAAGACCTCAGTGCAGTCTCGTTACTGGAGGGACAGAAAATATTTTGAGACCACACATAGGCCGAAAGGACTTCATTTCTGCCAAAAACAAAAAAGAAAAAATGAAACAACATGGCTTTTCTAAGAATAACCTTAGAGAGAGAAAGGAAACAGCTCATACTAGAAACAGTTGTATTAATATGCTTTTTGTAAGTTGTATTCTCTAGTAATAGGGACAGTGGATATATGTGTGTATCTATACATACAGACGTACACACAATTTTCACATATTAACACAAAATTACTGAGTACGTATATGGGAAACACATGAGAAGGTGCACTTATGTTTAGTAATCAAACAATTATCAAGGAGCCAACAGGCTGCCAACAAGAAACTCTGAGGCTGGGATCATGATAGGCAGGGCGGCCAACCACAGTCCACCCACCCCGGAGCTGCCCCCCAGGCCTCTGACAAGCAAGGGACACCAGGGGTGAGGATCCCATGCCCTCGTCAGCCAGCACCAGGGCACCTGTGGTTCCAGCCAGTGATCCCGCAGGGGCGCTGGTGGTGGGCGGGGCTCCAGGACAGAGGCCAGCCCCACGTACGGAGGTCCCAGGAGAGCAGGGCAAGCAGAAAGGGCCCAGTTCCGCCTTTAATCGCCAGCCTAGGTCTTTAAATTCTGATTGGCTTTAGTAAACTGCCCTCCTCAACTCAGCCTTCTGCTGTGATTCCTCATCCCATCCCATAAACAATCACTACGACATTCCCTTGTCCTCAAGGCTTAATACTAACAGCTGCCCCTCAACACACGACAGCCTAAATCCCACAGCAACCTTTCTGTCAGCACTGTCACTTTGAAGGAAAGACAGCCCTTTAGGAGCTAGCTTTTTTTTTTTTTTTAATACGATGTCTGTGTATGTCCATTAAAGGGGTAGACTATACACCCAGTGGCATTAACAGATGTCAACTGTTAGATGGTTAAGGTGACTCATGTGACTTTCTTTGCTCGTTCCTATTTTCCTTTCAACCCTGAGGAGACATTGTTTCCATTAAATACAAAAATACAGAAGACATTTTTGATTTCAAAAAGGCCTGTCTTGCTGAAGAAACCAGCCAAAAGGGACTCAGCATGTGAAACAAGGTGAGCAGTGATAAACCCATCAATGAATCCCAACTAAGCAGACGCCAGCACATATGTTGGAAAGCAGGAAACATACACCTGGGCACCCTGGGCCAGAGAGGGGATGGGCTTGGCTATTCAGGGGAGGGACTGAGAAGAGGGAAGAGGGATCACTGGGGTGAAGGTCTGGCATGAAGCCACACGAGGGAGGAACATAAGAAGGGTGCAGGGAGGAGCGCCTAGGTGGCTCAGTCGGTTGAGCGTCTGCCTTCAGCTCAGATCATGATCCCGGGGTCCTGGGATCGAGCCCCGCATCAGGCTCCCTGCTCGGCGGGAAGCCTGTTTCTCCCTCTCCCACTCCCCCTGCTTGTGCTCTCTCTCTCGCGGTCTCTGTCAAATAAATAAATAATTTAAAAAAAAAAAAAAAATTTTAAAAAATAATAAAAA